AAACTTCAAACTTATTAAATACTAGATGCATAAACTAACCCAGCTATATTAAAGCTAGATTTCATATTTCGTAAGTTTAGCATGCAATAAATAATTCATAAATTTTATACTTACATAGCTTAAAAGATCTTCCACGTTATCTCTATTGCGGAAAGAACTATTTCTTTGACCACTTACAATCTCCAAAATCAATACACCGAAGCTAAAGATATCAGATTTTACCGAAAATTGTCTATGCATTATATATTCCGGAGCCATATAACCACTGCAAAACAGGAATTAATAAAAAATTATTATAATCATATATATATATATATATAGGTATTTCGCTTAATCAATTGTAGTATTAATAGTACTTTGATATTTTATAATGATTTATATTCAATCATTTGATTTTTTATAATGATTTATTTTCAATCGTGACTTAAAAAACTCAGTTTTTTTCATCCACAACCTTTTTCATTTATTTAAAATCAAATAATCCATCAATACATTGTTAGAATTTGGATGAAATAGACACCAAATTTGCCACGTGACACTTCAATAGACATACAGATGATCAACTTTGTCCAAATTTTAATAATACATTAACGGGATGAAGTACTCGAAACAAATTAAAAAGTCGTGGATTTTAAAAAAAAAATCATATTTTTTAAGTTGCAAGCAAAGAAAAAAGAAACATTGCCAAAAAGGTCGTAACATGCTCATAATGGAATTTACTCAAAATTAGTTTATCATGTTTAGAACTTACTAGGTTCCAACAATTCTACTTGTATTGCCTTGTGTTTCGTCCATTGCAAATAGTCTTGTCATGCCAAAATCTGCGATTTTAGGGTTCATATCTATGTCTAACAAAATAGTACTTGCTTTAGGATCACGATGAATTATTCGAAACCGAGAATCTTCATGAAGGTAAAGGAGTCCACAAGCAATGCCTCCTATGATTTTGTTGCATTGTTCCCAATCCAATTGTTCCCTCCTATTTGGATCTATATGTTCATACAAGAATGTAATAACTTCAATGCATTTAAGATATCAATCATGGTGTGCTTAACTATAACTAGCAGTACTGCTTAATTTCTAGTAACAAAAATGAAATAAACACTGATCTGCTCTGTCCAAGTTGAACAAGCAAATTCAGTTGAAATTCATTATTACGTAGATAAAATGCAGCTACACCAAATATGAAGCGATCACGGCTTGAATTAGGCACAAACTCATAGATAAGAAGTCTTTCATTTCTTTCCAGGCTGAAACCTAGAAGTCTAACTAAATTCCGGTGTTGAAGCTTGGCCGCCAAGAGGACTTCATTCTTGAATTCTAGGTCTCCTTGTGCTGAATCCCTGGATAACCTTTTTACAGCTATATCTTGCTCGGTGGAAATTCTACCCTGAAAATTAACAAAGGCGTTAAATTTGTTATTTTGCAAAGTATATATCTAATATATGTCGAACACATAGCTAACATAGAGCCACATGATCTGTTGATAAATTACTGAACTCTAATCTGGTTCAACTCCATTGAGGGCATTTGATATTCTACGTCATGCATATGTTTACGTTGTAAATAGCCCCAAAGCCACCTTGTCCAAGCTTATTTTCATCAGAAAAGTTATTTGTTGCATCTCTAATGGTGCTGAAATCATATTGCAAAGACTCTACAGTGATAACTTCCTTGTCATGATGTACCGGAGAGGAGGAGCAAGCTAGTAATTAGCGGAGACTGAGCGAAGTGTTTGAATTTTTCGTTTTAAAGAATAGATGCATGCATGACTAGTAGAACTCCGTAGTCTTTGCAGGATTAGATTATTTTTTTCAAAAAAAACAATCCTTGAAGCCATGATCTACATAATTAGAAGATGCTGAAACAGCATAATGTCGTCTAACTTACGATGTTGAACATAATTTCCCCTCCTCTTCCTTACTCTCAGGAAGATACCGACACAGATGACTAGTACCATGACACTAGCAATTGGAATAACAATGATGATGACAGTTCGAGATGTATTATTCTTCTTATTTCCCGTCAGAAAAACAGATGTGTTGTTACATACTAAAACTTTTCTGAGTTTTAAATTTTATATATAACTCAACAAGCATGATTATAAGATCTACCTTCAGGCAAGGCAGAAGATACAGGTGGTGGCGTTCTCGTTATGTTGTAAAAACGATAGTTCTCAAACCTGAAATTACAACCTGGGCCTATAACCCTGCCTCCATTCCTTCCAGTGCAACAATCTGGCTGCTGTTGGATAATTTTGTCCAGACAATCCAAGCATTGTTCCTGGGATAAATCAGCAGTGCACTCCGTGAGCGCATACACTGTTTTGTAATCGGGAGTGATTACATCGTTTACTGCAAACTTTCGAAGAGTATCTCCTGCTGCGGCTTCTTCCCGCAACGTTTCCAACAACGACCTCAATATCTCACTGAAGCCTTCAGGATCCGAGGCATTGACTTGACTCCACAAATGCATACCAGGCAAAGTTTCTAAAATGCCAAAGATAGAGCGATATGAGTGAAACACCATACACTCATCATACCCCAAAATTGCCTCCTTCTGGTTGGGACAAACGCTTGATTGCAGCTTCTTATTGACGTCTGATATGCAAGCACGGCAAATATCTGGCTCAACGTCTCCTCGACAAAGCGCACGCGCAAAAACTGGGTCAGGGTTTTCGCCAAAGGATGCATTTTAGAATCCATAGTCATTTCCTTGGTTGGATGAGAAGGAAGATAGAACATGGTTGAGATTATCCGGGTAAGGACTGTCAGCGGAAAATTTACCGCTTCTGTCATCACAGTTGACATAGCGCAGCCCTGGCTGGGCGGTTGAAAGGGTAAGAAGGTGATGAACAAGAATGGAAGAAAAGAATGAACGGGTTGTAATTAATTCAAATAATGAACTTGATTTTGGTAATTAGTTTAAGCAAATTATGGAATTATAGTACTCCATTTTTTAAAAAAAATTTGTAAATTTTAAAAATATATATTATTCATATACTATACTTTAAAATAATAATAATATATATTATTCATATACTATACTATACTTTAAAATAATAATATAGTTTAAAAATATATATTATTCATATACTATACTTTAAAATAATAATATAAAATAATTTACTTCAACAGAATGTAACCAAAAAACAATTTACTTGTTCAAATCATCCGAACACAGTATTTATCTGACAGGTAGTGGAAATGGGCCTCAAGTCATGAAATGGTTTGAGTATTTTGTTAAGAATAATGCAAATTGTTTACCTGCTGATTGGGCAGCATATAAAATTTGGCCCTCACGATGTAATCGAGTTGGATGAAGCTTGTCTCTAATGGAACAAAGCTTGGTAACAACATCACTCATGTCCATCCGCACACTTGGGGATTCAGCAGAACTAATGACTCCTATTTCAAATATTGAATTCAAACATTGAAGATGTTTGTCATTTCCTCGTCTGACTCTCTCCTGAAGAAGAATGGAATCTATAATCTCAATCATTCGTTCAGGCAAAGCTGCCACAACAAAGTTATGAAGGTTGAAACCTTCTTCGAAGATTTCATTGGTTGGCCTTTTCCTCGTAAACATCTCTAGCAAGAGGATGCCAAAGCTATGCACATCACCTTTTGTTGACAACTCGCTTCCCACGCCATATTCTACAATTAACTCATCACGAATTATATAAATTACAACAATAATTGCAGAGATCCTTTGAAAAATATAAAGATATAGCCTCTAACATCCAAGCTTTAAACATGTAAAATTACATTCTAATTTGAAGTAATGTGGTCATCATTTGTTAACCAAAAACTACTTCCATATTATATGTTTTGCTTTTGAATTATGTTGTGCTAAGAGAAAAGTATTAAAATGGAAGAAATGAATAAAATGTACTTAACTGGTGGAGCATAACCGATAGTTCCTCTTAATCCGAGGGAGCTTGACTGAGTGGTAGAATTGTTAAGCCTGACAGCAGAAAGGAATTTTGCTAAGCCAAAGTCATTTATATGGCCTATCATTTCCTCATCAAGTAGAATATTGCTTGGCTTGAGGTCACAATGAATAATTGCTGTATTACAATGATGGTGCAGGTACTCCAGTGCATGGGCAACATCTACTGCCACATTTACCTCCGAAAGAAATTCAGGTTTCTCATCATCTCCTGTTCATTCATGCGGACAGATGGATGCCGCCAATCCTCCAAGCTTCCGTTTACCACGAACTCATAAACCAATGCTTTAAAATCATTGCCTTGACAATCAACACCTGAAATTGCTGTTAATACCTTGACAAGATTCCCATGTCTAATGTTCCTCAAGGCCTCACATTCAGCTAAGAAACTCCTGGAAGCTCCATGAGTAAGAACATTAAGCACCTTAACGGCAATAACTACTCCACTTGCTTCAAGAATTCCTTTGTATACAGAACCGAAGCTGCCTGAACCAACCAAATTTTGTAAGGAGAATCCATCAGTAGCCCTTAGGATGCTTTGGTATGATAATTGTAAAAGTGAATTTTCTGCACTCGCTGCTGTTGGTTGCTCATTCTTCTTTCTAAACCATAAAATGAAGAGAAATGAGAATACCAAAGTCGGTCCTAAAATCACAAAAACAATGGCAATTTTTAATTTGAGAGAAGTGTTTGATCTTTTGATGGATGCTTTCGAGTTGCATCTGGACAAGTGTAACTCGGGGATGCCTCCGCCAAGCTTACTATTTCCCTGAACAAATGTTGCAGTTGCATTCTTAAAGACTCCTTCAATTGGTATCATACCCTCAAAATCATTGAAAGATAGATTTAAATACTATAATGACACAAAGCTCACAAGAAATTCTGGAATCTCACCAGTAAGATTATTCTCAGATATTTCTAATGCCATAAGACCTCTCAATGAACTCAAACATGAAGGAATGGGCCCTTCGAACAAATCGCCATCCAAGAACAGGTACTCCAGTCTTAAACAGCTACCAAGATTTTTTGGAAGCAAACCAGATAACCTGTTATGAGATTATTTCAGTGGACAAAGACAAGAGTCCACCTAAACTTTTCAGATTTCCTACTTCAACAGGAAGCACACCAGTTAAATAGTTGGATGATAAGGCTACTTCAATGGACAAAGACGACAGTCCAATTATTTCAGTAGGTATAGATCTACCTAGATTATTATAAGAAAGATCCAATCCAACCAAACTTTTACATTTACCTATACTTGAAGGAATGTTGCCCTGAAGATTGTTACTTTCTAAAGCAAGTTGGGCTAACATTGTCAAATTTCCTATAGAAGAGGGAATAGTCCCCGAGAGAAAATAATTTTAATGTGCATAAAATATCTTTAGCTTCTGAAGCCTCCCAATAGCGGGGGGAATGGAACCTGATAGCTGATTTTGTGATGTCGCTAGCACCTCCAAATTGATGAGATTTCCAATCCCAGTCTTCCCCATATTTTGTTATCTTGTATTATTAAGGTCGAAGTAGTGATAGACAAATTACCAATGCACTTAGGCAATTCCCCTCCAAAATTATTTTCGCTTAACTCTAGATATTCTAGTTTGGTAGTATTGGTTAAAGAACAAAGAAAGTTGAAATCACTTGGTCCCCCATTTCCAAAATGATTGCTGCCTATGAGAAATCTAGATAGTTTATGCAGCTTTTCAAATGAAGGCAAGTTTTCATTAAGTTGGTTTAGTGGAACTTGAAGAAGCACGAGATTTGAGGCATTGGATATTGAAAGAGGGAATTGTCCAGAGATTTGGTTTTGTCTGACGGAAAAGAATTCAATATATGGCATAGTGATTCCTAAGTCAAAAGGAAGAGTACCTTGAATCTTGTTTTCGCCAATATCAAAACTTGTAATCTTGGAGAGATTGAAAATTGAGACAGGAACAATTCCAGAAATTGCATTTGCTGCTATAGAAAAAAATGAAAGATTTGTCAGTTGCCCAAGAGATTCAGGTATAAGTATAACCCCATTCAGTCCATTCTTACCCAAAGCAAGTGTCTCCAAAGACGATAAGTTCCCCAAGGAAGGTGGGATACTCCCTGTTAAACTGTTATTGACAAAACTTAAATATTTTAGTTTTGAGAAGAGACCAAGCAAAGCCGGTATTTCTCCAGTTAGCTGGTTTGCTTCTAATATGAAGAACTCTAAGCTTAGAACAACTAGATAAATTGGAATGAATTTCACCATTGATGGAATTATTGGACAATTCTAATACTTCCAATCTTCTTAAACGTCCAACTTCTTGAGGAATTTCGTTGTTGAAGCTGTTGCCTGCAAGATTCAACACCCTGAGAAAACTTAAATTTCCAATTTAGAGCGATATAGACCCCGCTAGCTTCTGAAATTGCAATTCCAACTTGGTTACTCTCTGATGTCTGTGCCCGCATTTAACACCATACCACTGGCAGAAGTGGATGGAACTATTCCAGGATTGCATAATCCTAAGCTGATCACCAGTTATCTTGGCTTTGAAATCAAGGAAAGACTGTTGATATGTGTCATTTCCACCAACTACAAGGGTTGCTAAGCCGAGCAAATTAAGACCCTGCAGGTTAAAGCATGAGAGAATAATTAAAACTTCAACGTAAACGAGGAAAACAGTGCTGAACACTTTCAAATGCTAGTTGGATAGCTCCAGCAACCCGAATCAAATTGTTAATTGATGAGATTGATTCGTATTTAAGAGTGCTTGGGTTCATCAACAAGAACTAGAGTGTAATATAAGAAATTTTGGAACTCTGATATTATGCAACTGTCTATCCTGTTAATTGGTTCAAGCTTTCTAACTCTGAAAGTTAAAGTTTTCTGACTTTGAAAGTTATGTGGCTAGAATTTGCATAGGGCCCTGCTTTAGTTGGAAGCATGTACTTAGGTAGTTGGGGTTGGCTTTCTTCCTGGTTTCGATCGTGATTGAGCCAGACTCCCTATACTGAATACTTTTCCTCCGCTTCTATATTTTTTTGTCACTTTTATATTGATTCATCCTTTTTTTTTTTAATCTTAAATTGAGCATCAAGAAATTGAATGGAAACAAATTATGTCCTGGACAAAACTAAGAAAAGATTGAGTCAGTCAACTTGTGTAAAGACAAACGTTCTATTTCAACAAGTAGCAAAATTGTTAGAAACTAAAATCAGACATAAAATTAGCTTAAACATGGGTTTCTCAGCTGGATCCCCACTTTTCTGAGAAATCTTTATTCTCTATTTCTGGTCAATAATTTAGACAACGATTTTTGGCAATAAAATTATCATTCAGTTAGAGTCATCAAGTCATTTCTGATTGATAAGCCAGTAAGATGATATCTTCACAGAGTAATTACACCTTGCTTTGCGAATTCCTTTTTATGAGTTTTTTTTTATTGTTTTATTAGATACTTTATAGGGTTGATTGGTAGAAATTAATTCACATTGAAAGATTAGGCCATTTAATTAATCTTTTTCATTTCATATGTCTATAACACCGGATGAATTTAATTAGTTTCATTTTTTCTACTCAATAACAACGTGATATTGATAAATTTTTGTTTGATTTGATTACATTTATTTTTCTAATTGTAAATAAATTGTATATGTATTCTCCTAAATAAATTGAAAAAAAAATTTAATAAAATAAAAGACAAACTTGTTTCTAGATCTGTAAGGCGAGCCTTGGATAAGAGATTTAAAGTTTGGGCTCCATCCCAAATATTTAAAATTTAATAAAAATATTTTTATTAAATTTTAATTTTAAAATATTTAAAATATTAAATATTCATATTTTTGTTTTTTTAATATTTTAATATATTTCATAAAAATCAAGCTTGTTAAACCTGAAGGGCCAGTCAAGCCTTTGGCAAGAATTTTCCAAGAACAATCAAACTCCATCAAATCCACAACCCGTGAATAAGTGTACTTGCTTCCCTTGTGCCTTTATTTTCGTTATCGGGATTAATTGAAAGTCTTTAAAAGTCTTTGTAAACTTGGCCATGTAAAGGAATTTGGCAAAAAAAGAAAAAGACTTGCGCCATAGGAGCAAAGAATGGGGGAATCTGACCAGATAATGACAATCGAAAATAAAGAAGTGGGTCTGCTGCATTTGCGTTTACCTTGACCTGGCTCAGTCAACTTGTGCTAAGACAAATGCATAATTCAACTTCAGTAGCAAAATTCAGAAAAAATAATGATCAGATGTGAAATCAGCTTGAAAATTGGCTTTTCAATTGGATCCCACTTCTTTGATAAATGTTTTATTCTCTGTTTCTAATCAATAGTATAAAAAATGATTTTTGGCAAGAAAAAGTTACCATTCAAGTAAAGTCATCAGATCATTTTGCGATCGATCAGATATAACTTCAAATAGTAACCACACCTTGCCTTTGCAAATTCCTTTTACTGAGTTTTCTTATTGCTTTATTAGATATTTTACAAGGTTGATTGGTAGAAATTAATTTATATTCAAAGGCTAGACCATTTAATTAATCCTTTTCATTACAAATGCCTATAGCACCATCCATCAAGATGAATTTAATTAGTTTTCTTTTTTTTTTATCCAATAACAATGGGTTATTGATAAAGGTTTGTTTGATTTGATTATATTTATTTTTCTAGTTGTAATTAAATTGTATATGTACTCTCCTAAACAAATTTTAAAAAAAGGGAAATTTCCTTTTTTTTTTGTAAATGTAAAAGCAAAATTATAAGGATTGTTTTTCTGTTTCATTTCTTTTTAAATGAAATATTATTTCATTAAATTTTAATTTCTTGAAACTGAGATAATCAAAAGAAGGGAAGAAGCTTATTTTGATCAAAACAAAAGTGATTAAAATGCAAACAAATGATCAAAAGAATTAATCCTTTTGTTCATGATTAAACAGTTACATTCAATTTCGATTTAGATGCTTTTGTCTTATTCTTCCAGGTTTGCTGTGTCTTATCTTCTTTACATGATAGCCATCTCTCACAATAACATTGCTGCCACATATTCCTGGAACATTAACATCATATCTTTTTCCCTTCCTCTGGATTTTGATATCTTAATATCTTTATGAACAATTTTCACAACAAATTCTTGTTAAAAACAATGAAAGAAGATGGAAAAGTTTGGATTCTATCTATTGAGGGTGAAAATTATGGACCCCCCTATTGTATGTTATTAATAACATACATGAAAATAATGGTTAGTTACCCTGTGATTTCTTTGTGGAAAAAGAAAAGAAGAAAGATTTGATTTCCAAACTCATTTGATAGCCGATTAGTGACAAGATTTGATTGCGTCTATGGTTCATGGGTCAATCCCCTTGAATAAAAGCCACTCGAAATGAATAGAGACAGAAGCTTTATCAAAATTCATTTGTCTAGATTTAAATGTAGCTGAATAACATACCAGATAAATTTGGACATAAACTCATTCTAAATCCAAGAATATTAAGCAATAAGTACGAGAAAAAAGTATATTATTCATGAAACCTGAAACACTAGATGTGGAATTTTATTCATCAAATGTAGACACAAGATTAAGAAATTGAAGCTAAATCCAATATTCTTAGAGATTTGGTCCTTCATTTCACAAAACAAGGGAATGGGAAGAAAAGGGTTGAAAAGAAGAGAATAACAAACACAAGACTGAGTAACTGCAGTTGAAGGAAATGATGATCTTTTCTTCTTTTCCCTGTTTCTTTCCAGGAGAGGGATTGTTTACAGGACAGAATACAGGCCGCCAGGGAGTTCCAAATCAAATGTGATAGAGATCAAAACTGCACCTTCACACGCCAATGGACCAACTAAGCTTAAGCCATTAAGCAGCAGCTGCAGCTGAAAAAAATAATGCAAAGGATGTAAAATTTGATAAAAATATATAACAAATTAAATGTTATTGCTACTTGGATTTAAACCAATAGTAGAACCTCTTGTTCTTAATGATCGAGGTGGAAGCAACTTGTCTCTTATAGAACAAAGCAGCTTGTCTCTTATAGAACAAAGCTCAGCAACAACGTTAGCCATGTTCATTCTTTCAGTTGGCAATTCAAAAGAACAGGCAATTCCAATTTCAAATATGGAATTCAAGCTCCGAAGAAAGCTGAAATCTTTTTGGCTGCTCCCATTGAAAGCATTGTTCATCATTGTTTCTCCTCCGAAACTTTGTTGAAGAAGAGTGGGATCTGTAATCTTAGCCACTCGATTTGGCAAAGCTGTTTTAACAAAGTTATGAAGGTTCGGATTCTCTTTAAACATTTCATCAGTTGGTCTTTTCCCTGTAAACATCTCCAGCAAAAGAATGCCATAGCTGTACATATCTCCATATGTTGTCACATTACATCCCGAGCCATATTCTGCAATTCATTTGTCACAAACAAGAGAATAATTTCGAAACAGATGCAAAAAGCTTTCACACATAAGGATCTTAACAGATTAAATTAAATAACTTATTGATTTGAAAGAATGTTCTACTTACCTGGTGGAGCATAACCAATTGATCCTCTTAACCCAAGAGAGCTTGACTGCCTTGAAGTGTTATTTTGTATGTCTAATGTAATGAATTTTGCTAGCCCAAAGTCCCCTACATGGCCAACCATTTCATCATCAAGTAGAATATTGCTTGGTTTGAGATCACAATGAACAATTGGTGTTTCGCAATGATGATGAAGATACTCCAATGCACAACCAACATCAACTGCCACATTCAATCTCTGAAAAAAATTCAAGCTTTTTGCTGCCTCCTCTCACTGATTCATGCCAACAATTGGTTGCAATCAATCGTCTAGGCTTCCATTTGCCATGAATTCATAAACAAAGGCCTTAAAATCATTGCCTTGATAGTCCACACCAGAACATGCTGTTAATACCTTGACAAGGTTTTGATGTCTAACATTCCTCGAGGCCTCACATTCAGCCAAAAAACTCCTGGAAGCTCCATGACTCAAAAGTTTAAGTACCTTGACAACAATAATTGTTCCATTTGTTGGGAAGATAAACCACACTTGGAGTCGATGGGAGCACACAAAGAGCCCATACATACATATTAGACATCACTTGAGCCCAAAAGATTAAACTATAAAATTCTTGGGTCTTTCATGCATATATAGGACATTTCATTCAAATTTTCTAATGATGTGGGATCCGTTACTCACATGTGAACAATATCCCAACTCCATTCTCTTCAAGAATTCCTTTATATACGAAACCAAAGTTGCCTGTACCTATTAAATTTGCTGATGAGAAACCATTAGTAGCTTTTAGAATGCTTTGGTATGATAACTTTAACAATGGATTTTCAGCAGTTGATGATGCAGGCTGCTTTATTTTCTTTCTAAACCAAAAGAGAAAGATGACGGAGAAAACCAAAATAACTCCTGAAAGAGCAGAAACAATAGCAATTATTGATTTAAGTGAAGTAGTTGACCTCCCTTTATGTTGTTTCAAGTTATCACAAGTTGGCAAGTGGAACTCAGGAGTGCCTCCACAAAGCTTACTGTTCCCTTCAAAGAACATAGCACTTATATTTTTAAAGACTCCACCAACTGGTACTAGACCTTCGAAATTGTTGAAAGAAAGATTCAAGCAGTGTAAAGAGCCAAATGTCACAAGAAATTCAGGAATTTTACCAGTGAGATTGTTTCTAGAAAGGTCTAAATTTGTAAGACCTTTCAATGAACTCAAAGATGAAGGAATTGATCCATTGAAGAAATAGCCTCTCATCAGTAGTACCTCCAGCCTCATACAATTACCAAGATCATTTGGAATGGCACCAGATAACATGTTTTGAGCAACATCTTTCTTAAATTTCCTACTTCAACGGGAAGCACGCCGGTCAACCAGTTTGAAAATAAGTATAGACCGATAGACAAGGATGATAGTCCACCTATTTGAGAAGGTATAGAACCACTGAGATTGTTATTAGAAAGATCTAAAAAAATCAGATTTTCACATTTGCCTAGACTTGGAGGAATTTCGCCTTGAAGATTGTTGTCATTTAGATACAACTTGATCAACATCTTTAAATTTCCCAATGAAGTGGGGATGGATCCAGAGATAGAATTAATACTTACAGCAAAATATTTTAGTTTTTGAAGCCTGCCTATGACAGATGGAATGGAAACTGATAATTGATTTTCTCCTACCGCCAACCCCTCCAAGTTGATTAGATTTCCAAATCCTGCTGGTATTCTTCCCACTGTGTTATTGCCTTCCATATAAAAAAGGGTCATAGCAGTTGACAAATTGCTTATGCACTCAGGTAATATCCCTCCAAAGCTGTTGTCATTGATAAGCACAATTTCCAAGCTGGTGGCACTAGTTAAAGAGCAGATGAAGTTTAAGTCCTTTGCTCCCTGACTACCAAGAAGATTCTCACCAGTATTCAATCTTCGCAACTTTTCTAGCTTTCGGAGTGAAGATACTAAATTTGTTCCCGTCAACCTGAAGCGTGATGAGGTTAGAGGCATTGGATATTGAAAGAGGGAATGGTCCACTGATTTGGTTCTGGCTAAATCCAACTTTCTTACAGATTTGGTCCTTAATTTCACAAAACAAGGAAATAGGAAGAATGGAGTAAAAGGAAGAGAATAATATACACAAGACTAAGTAACTGCTGTTGAAGGAAATGATGATCTTTTCTTCTTTTCCCTGTTTCTTTCCAGGGGAGGGATTGTGTACGCATGAACGAGAAATAACACGACCATGATTACCTTGAAGTAAAACTCAAAGCATAAAGCCTAATCCAAACATGAACAAGCTCAAAATAAAAGGTTCTCATTAAGAACATGCAGATAACAAACACAAGGTTCAGTCGATATTACAATTAATATAAACATAATAAACCTAATTTTAAGTAGTTCTCAAATGCTCATTTTCTAAGCTTTTCTCAATAATCATACTTTCATTTCATTTGTTAAGGAAAAAAAAATAGAATAAACAACAGCTAGTAAGTAAAGGCTCAACTTCATCCCGTTTTAATTCTATTCATTAAAATTCGGAAATATAATCATTTCAAAAATCCATTATAACATTCATAGTCAAAATCAGAATAAAACATTACCAATGGATCAAACTATAAAAATCATTCATCACAAATCATCATTAGCATTCGTTTATCGTTAGCTACGGTCACTGCTATAACCCGTGACAAGTGGCCGGTATCAACAATTTTATCCTCATAATCATTGCTAACTATTGTACCCGTTAGCCAAGGCTTACGCTAACTACTATTACCGTTAGCCAGGGTCATAGAACTAGTTCTGGCGTCGATGATCCCACTTCCCAGGAATATAAAAAACGTAGCTATCACAAAATCATTCTTTAAACATAAATCATTTTCTCATTTCATTCATAAGCATGATCCATCATTTATATAGCGAAAACACAAAATAATCATATACTTTGATCCTATTTTCATACATCGAAAATAAAGAAATAAAAAACATTTCTTTCATTTAGAAACATGCATATATACATAGATTCAAAAAACAAGCAAAGTGTGGTGAGATTCTACTTACTTTCTTATGATTCCACCACCTAATTTTTCTCCCTCAAAATTTAGTGGCCTATTCAAAATAATTCCAACATAACAATAATTAATCAACCCATTTGAGGCCACTTATATCAAAACAAATAAGTTAAACAAGTAATAACTCGAGTAATTAATTCTGGCAGTCTGCGTTACTTTCACTAAAATGACCATAACTCAAGATATCCAATTCGGAATTAAAATATTTTTAATGTGTTAGAAACTAGACTTAAAAGCTTTCTAACCATATATGGCCCATCTCGTGATTTCTTGTGGATTAATTATAACAATTTTTGTAATCCACGTCATATGCTGCTGCCAGACAGCCTGTATACCTTTTCATAAAAATTACGTATTTATTCATAGGTAACTCCAAATTCAATTTTGCTTATTTCATTGGAAAGTAGACTCAATAAGCTTTCCAAAAATATATGGTTTAATCTGTAAATCCTTGTATAAAAATTAAGGAAAATTTCGTAATTCAACCCTGATGCTGTTGTCTTACAGCCTGCATATCCTTAAGTTAAAATTAGACAACTCTTCATAGAAAACTCGGATTTAACTTTCGTTTATTTCATTAGAAACTAGATTCAACATGCTTTCCAACGATATATAATAATCATAGAAATAATATATCCATTAATACAAAATTCTATTTTAATTCATTATTACAGATCACAATATCTCATTAAAAAACAGAATTTTTCCTTCAATCTTTAAAAACTCAAATCCTTACTTTTAGCCTTCAAACTCCATTCAATAATCATCAATAAATCTTAAAAACATGAAATAAACAAAGTCCAGTAATTTACCTAAATAGATTATCAAGATTAATGAAGGATTTCATGATTTTTCTTGATTTTTCTCTCAAAACTTCAACTCCAAATAATAGCAATAAACTTGATATTTGTTCTTAAATAAAAAGAGGGCATGTACTCACCTTTAAAGGATTAACTTGATTATAACCTCTGTTTGTGAATCTCCAACTTGATTTTTCATATTCTCTAACCCTAAGGAAGATGAGGAAGAAGAATTATATTTCTTTTCTGTTTCACGATAGTTAGGTTTTCTTTTGTCTAATACTTTAGCCCTTTTTCTTTTACTAAATAATATCTTAATAAACTGATGGTCTTTAGTATTAGTCTAGCTCAATTATTATTTGCACGGGGGTAGTACAAAACCAATATTAGTACCTCTTGTTCTTAATGATTGAGTTGGAAGCAGCTTGTCTCTTACAGAACAAAGCTCAGCAATAACATTAGCCAGGTTCATTCTTTTCAGTTGGCAATTCAAAGAACAAGCAATTCCAATTTCAAATATGGAATTCAAGCTCCGAAGAAGTCTCATTATGTTTTTGGCTGCTCTCATTGAAAGTGTTGTTCATCACTGTTTCTCTCTGAAACTTTGTTGAAGAAGAGTGGGATCCGTAATTCTCAGCCACTCGATTTGGCAAAGCTGTTTTAACAAAGTTATTGAAGGTCAGATTCTCTTTAAACATTTCATCAGTTGGTCTTCTCCCTGTAAACATCTCCAGCAAAACAATGCCATAGCTGTACACATCTCCATATATTGTCACATTACATCCCAAGCCATATTCTGCAATTCATTTGTCACAAATAAGAGCAATAATTTTGAAACAGATGCAAATAGATTCACACATCAAAGATCTAAACAGGTTAAATTAAATAACGTATTGATTTGAAAGAATGTTCTACTTACCTGGCGGAGCATAACCAATTGTTCCTCTTAACCCAAGAGAGCTTGACAGGCTTGAAGTGTTATTTTGTATGTCTGATGTAATGAATTTTGCTAGCCCAAAGTCACCTATATGGCCAACCTTTTCATCATCAAGTAGAATATTGCTTGGTTTGAGATCACAATGAACAATTGGTGCTTCGCATTGATGATGAAGATACTCTAATGCACAACCAACATCAACTACCACATTCAATCTCTGAAAAAAATTCAAGCTTTTTGCTGTCTCCTCTCCCTCATTCATGCCAACAGTTGGATGCAGCCAATCCTCTAGGCTTCCATTTGCAATGAACTCATAAACAAGAGCCTTAAAATCATTGCTTTGATAGTCCACACCAGAACATGCTGTTAATACCTTGACAAGGTTTCGATGTCTAACATTCCTTAAGGCCTCACATTCAGCCAAGAAACTCCTGGAAGCTCCATGACTCAGAAGTTTAAATACCTTAACGGCAATAATTGTTCCATTCTCTTCAAGAATTCCTTTATATAGGAAACCAAAGCTACCTGTACCTACTAAATTTGCTGATGAGAAACCATTAGTAGCTTTTAGGATGCTTTGATATGATAACCTTAACAACGGATTTTCTGCATTTGGTGAAGCAGGTTGCTTTCTTTTCTTTCTAAACCAAAAGAGAAACATGAGGGAGAAAACCAAAATAACTCCTGAAAGTGCAGAAACAATAGCAATTATTGATTTAAGTGACATAGCTGATCTCCATCTATGTTGTTTCAAGTTATCACAAGTTGGCAAGTGGAACTCAGGAGTGCCTCCACAAAGCTTACTGTTCCTCCAGCCTTATACAATTGCCAAGATCATTTGGAATGAAACTTGATAACATTTGAGACATCTTAATTCACCAAGATTTCTTAAATTCCTACTTCAAAGGGAAGCACGCCAGTCAAACGGTCGAAGATAAGATAGACCCGATATACAAGGGAGATAATGCAGCTACTGGGACGGTAATAGAACACTGAGATGTTATTAGAAAGATCTAATAAAACAAGATTTCCACATTTCCTAGACTTGGAGGAATCTCACCTTGAAGATGTTGTCATTTAGATGCAACTTGATCAACATCTTTAAATTTCCCCAATGAAGTGGGGATGGATCCAGAGATAGAATTAATATTTACAGCAAAATATTTTAGTTTTTGAAGCCTACCGATAACAGATGGAATGGAACCTGATAATTGATTTTCTCCTACCGCCAACCCCTCCAAGTTGATTAGATTTCCAAATCCTGCTGGTATTCTTCCCACTATGTTATTGCCTTCCATATAAAGAAAGGTCATAGCTGTTGACAAATTGCTTATGCACTCAGGCAATATCCCTCCAAAGCTGTTGTCATTGATAACCACAATTTCCAAGCTGGTGGCACTAGTTAAAGAGCAGAGGAAGTTTAAGTCATTTGCTCCCTGACTACCAAGAAGATTCTCACCAATATTCAATCTTCGCAACTTTTCTAGCTTTCGGGATGAAGATATCTTTCCACTAAATTTGTTCCCATCAACCCGAAGCGCGATGAGGTTAGAGGCATTGGATATCGAAAGAGTGAATGGTCCACTGAGTTGGTTCTGGCTAACATAAAACAGTTCAAGATATGGCATGTTGACTCCCAATTGTGAGGGAAGACTACTGTGAAAGTTATTTTCCCCAATATCAAGTTTTCTGATATTAGAGAGATTAAAAAGTGAGGAAGGAACGATACCAGACATTTTATTCATTGCCACGCCAAAAGTGATAAGATTCTTCAGTTGGCCAAGAGTTTCAGGGATAACCCCAGACAATCTATTTAGTGGCAGAAATATTATCTCCAAAGATGATAAGTTCCCTAAAAAAGGAGGGATGCTCCCTCTTAATGTGCTGTTGCTAAGGCCTAATTCCTTTAGATTTGACAAGTGGCTAAGTGCAGCATGTATTTCTCCAACTAGCAGTTTGTGTCCAATGTAAAAATGTTTGAGCTTCGAACAACCAGATATACTGGAAGGAATTTCACCAACTATGAAGTTTCTATCAAGAGTTAGTTCTTCCAATCTATGTAAACGGCCTATTTCTTGTGGAAGTTCTTGAATGAAGCTGTTGTTTTGAAGACTTAACACCCGTAGAAAGCTCAAATTTCCAATATAAGGTGATATTGGTCCCATTAGTTTCAGTGCTGGCAAGTCCAACCGGGTAACTCTCTGATGTCGTCGTCCGCATTTAACACCACGCCGTTGGTAAAAATGGACGCTGTTGTTCCACGAACGCATAATCCCAAGCTGATCACCAGCTATCTTGGCCTTAAACTGGAGCAAAGCCTGTCGATCTGTTTCATTTCCATTAATTGACAAAGCTGCTGAACCAAGAAGAAAGGACCTTTAAGATTGAACCACTGCTTCTGGAGGTAAGCCTAGTTGTTCTTCAACATGAAGCTGATAGTATGGAATACTAGAGGATTTAATGATCCTCGAAAACAAAAAAGTGTAGTAGATAGAATAAATAGAATAAAGGCAGATATTGTGTGTTTATTAGAAACTAGAATAAAGCATCATAAAATGCAGCCTGTGCTGGAAAAGCATTTTCGTGATTGGGGTATTCTTCACAATTATGCAGCATCTCCAAACAGAAGGATATGGTTATTATGGAGAGATCATGTGCACGTAGGCCCACTAGAGTTTTCTGAGCAAAGTATTACTTGTGTGTTACAATATGAAATCAGGAAAGTTTATTTTTCTGCCATTTATGGGAGTAACGACGGTATTCAAAGAAGGAACCTGTGGTTGAACTTAACTCACATCAGTGGTATAGTGCAAGACAACCCTTGGATTCTGACTGGGGATTTCAACATTATAGTCCATCCCTCTGAAAGCTCGGATTATAATGGAGATCAATCAGCAAACTCAGAGATGAAGGATTTTCAGAATTGCTTAACTTAACTAGGCTTGTTTGATCATGCTTATGTTGGACCTCAATTTACTTGGTCTAACCATCAATTAGTGTCATAACATATAGATCCGTAAATATAACTAGACTTAACAAATGGAGTCACCACCAATCTTTTTTATCTAGGTGTCATTGGCTACTTAAGGAATCTATTCTTTTAAGGAGCTCCTAAGCTTGACTAAGGGTCCCTAAAAGAATAGATTCAGGCTTACAAACCAAAATAGGATTCGAGAGTCGGTTACATGTGGGAAAGGTTATAGCACCCCCACATGCCCATCCAAAGAATGGTACCATATTATTTTGAATTCATCCTAAGGTCTTGAGTCTAATGGTTTCAAAATTTTATGTTGAAATATTGGAAATAATTTATAAGATCCTCCATAAATCTGGTAGAACTTTTAAAAAATATTTTCTCACCTCAAGAGAATTCAAGGATCCTACTTGTTTCCTTGAAAAGGCTCTATCGTCGATTTTTGTTATTATTTTTATTATTGTCGAAAATATATCTAATTATTCCACCATTTAGGCCTATTTAGAAATTTTTTTATTTTTTTCTCTTGGAAAGAAAATAATATGACAAATACTCTTATTGAAATTTCATCTAAATTATTTCACCATTTGGGCCAATTTAGAGAAAATTTCTTACCTAGAAATTTCTTAGGAATTTACCATTTGAAATTCCTAAGAATTTCATCCTTGGGTAATTATCACATATTTTCAACCAAAAATTTTTTATTTGGAAAAGAATACAAAATTACTTGTATTGAAACTTCATCTAAATTATTCTACCATTTGAAACAAATTTAGAGAAAATTTCTTACGTAGAGATTTCTTAAGAATTTACCACTTGAAATTTTTAAGAATCTCATTATTGGATAATTTGTATTTAATTCTCATTTTATATTTTTTTATATTTTTTGTTATTATTTTTTGTTGAAAAATAAATATTAATTATTGTTATTGAAACTTTATCTAAATTCTTCCACCATTTGAGCCAAATTTAGATAAAATTTCTTACCTAAAAATTTATAGAAATTTACCATTTGAAATTTCTATAAATTTCATCATTGGATAATTAATATTTATTACCAAAATTTATTTATTTTTTATTTTTATTAAATTAAATCATGCAAAAATACTCCTAAATAAACAAACACATAAATAAAAAATAATTAAAAAATACCAAAAAAATGGAAATGGCTCGGCTTGTGGCTAAGATTACCTCGGCTTGAGGCAGAGAAATCAGTTCAAAAACACGGCTCGGGAGTGCACAGCTCGGCTCCAGGGGAAGGCTGGCACACGGGTCAGACGCGGGTTGCAATCGCGTTGGGTTGGTCCAAGCAGAAACACGCACATCTTTGGGTTGATTTAAACTCTAAAATGACGTCATTTTCAGCGGGTATATAAGCCCAAATCCTAGCTTTTCCTTCAGAATCCTTCTTCCCCTCTCTTTCTCCCCATTCCTTTTCTCTTCCCCTCTCTAGAAAACCCAAATTTCGATTGACTATTCTACTGGAATCTGGAAAAATCCAACGAAAACTGGAAAATCTTGCCAGAAAATTCATCAAAAAATTGATTAGATTCTGAAATTTTTCAAAACTTTTCCAGGAAAAAAAAACCAAAAATTCGAAAAAACTTCTTAAAAATTCTAGGATTGCTACTAACACCTTTCAAACACTCTCTTTTCTTTTTGCCTCTATTTTCTTTGTATTTCTCGTGTATGTTTCTATGTATGATTCATGGGTTATTTATAGGGTTCAATCAGAAGAGTTTCTGATTGACCCTAATTTCCTCTTTGAATAGGATTAGCAGAAAACAAATTGAATTCCACTCCAATCCTACCAGCCACCATTCATGGTAAATTTTTTTTTTTATTTTCGGATCTTCTAGAATAAAAAAAATATATAAAAAAGTAATAATAAAAATAAAATTCAAAACAGTTAACTGAAAAAAGAAAAATACAAAAATACAAATAAAATGGGCTAATTTGTCCCATTTGGACCAAGCCCAATTGATCCAGGCCTGGACCAAATTGGGTGTCTACAGCTACCCTTCTTTACGCTTTCTTGTGCAACAAGAATTACGCAAAGATGTAGACACCCTGCACGTGACCATTTCAACAAATTCATGGTCTTTTTATTTTTTTTTATTTTATTTTTGGAAAAGTAAACAAAGTTCCTCTAAACAGAGGCTCAATGACTTCGAAAAATAAATTGCTCTTTTGAGTAAAGGCATCATGATTTTGAAAAAATAAATTGCTCCTCTGAATAGAGGCAACACGACTTTAGAAAAATAAATTGCTCCTTTGAATAGAGGCAACATGACTTTGGAAAAATAAATGTCTCCTCTGAATAGAGGCAACAAAACTTTGGAAAAATAAATGGCTCTTTGAATAGAGGGAACATAACTTTGGAAAAAAAATTACTCTTTGACAATCATGATCGGACGAGTCATAGATCATGTCTGATGGAATTTGTAATGGAAACTCAAAGATTCACAATTTGAGTTCAACATTCAAAGGCTCAGATTCACAAGAACCTTTCAACTTCGCAAGAATTCACTGAAATTTGATTATCAAAATTCCAGTTTCATAAAAATTCAAATTTGCAAGATCTTAGGATTTGCATTTTCGAGTTGCCAAACTCGTATTCAACATTTAAAGACTTTCATTTGAATCTTGAAGATTCACATCCAAAAATTCAAAGCTTCTCATTTAAACTCAAAGGTTCTCATTCAATAAATCTCAAAGTTTCATATCTCAAAGGTTCTCAATTGAAACTTAAAACTCAAAGACTTTTCTTTGAAATTCAAAGATTTTCATTTGAAATTCAAAGATTTTCATTTGAAATTCAAAGACTCTCATCAAAAAGCTTCACAATTTCTTTTCAGGTGACTCAAAATTTTGTACGAATAAATGTCATGATCAAAGATGCAAATTCATTCTTAATGATGCAAATGCAACAATCTAGATTCTCACAATGCCATGCATGTCTAAACAAAGCTTTAATTCATCAAATTATGTGCATGTACTATTTAAACAATGATGCTTACATGATGCATGTAATGCGGACGTCAATAATGTCATGAAATCCTAAATAACTATGATAATATGGCTCTCAAGACTCCATCATTTTGAGCTTCTTAGCACTAGCCATCTCAAAATAAATTTTATCTTTTATCACTTGATCATCGCTCATAAGCTTCTCAGTACAAATTTCATCTTCATCACTTGATCATTGTTCATGGGCTTTTCAGCACCAGTTTCATCCATTGTCCCATACTTTTTCATCACAACTCATAGGTTATGTCGATCAATTCATCCCCATATTTATCACTTGGACATACCACTTTTTTAAATTTTGACTCTTCTTCATTTTGTTGACCAATCCATCATCATATTCCCCATTTGGTCACGCCATGTGTCTTCTTAAATCATCTTAACATCCTGGATTTCTTCTCAAAAGAATGCAAGAATCTTTCAAGCACATTGTCATTCATTTCAAATCATGACAAATATAATGCACTCATACATTTTCTCGATTTATTCCGAGGATGCAACAATAAGGGAACACAGGGTGATTTGAGAGAAAGGTAATCAATGAAGGACGAGTTTGGTGCAAAACGAATAGGGAAAGAAACAAATTGGATACATGTCATTGGGATGAATGGTATATCCAAACAATGAATATCCAGATAATTCTGAACATTAATTCAGGATTCTTTTTCAAAAACTCATTCTATTGACTATCGAAATCATTTTGAGCTCATCAAACTTTACCTTAACTTTGAAGGATCTTCATATGTCTTTGATTTTTCATCCATGTGAATCGTTTGTCCAACTCTCAGCTTAGAGGTTTTTCTACTCAAATCATCATTTTCGCGTTTTCAATTTGAGTCTCCATTTTCTCTTCTTTCCATTTTCTTTTTTTTTTTTTTTTTCTTTTTTCTTTTTTTTCTTTTTTTCTTTCTTTTTTTTTCTTTTTTTTTCTTTCACCCATTATTGATATCTCTTTCACATCAATCTTTAGAGCAACCAAGCATGATTTTGTCATTCCATCATGAACATGCCTTAGCCCAACATATGACCATTCAATTTGAGCATTCACATTTGATCCAAATGGACTTTTAAAGGTTGTAATGTAGGCCATGGTGAGGGGTCATGAAAGAAATGGATAAAAATAGGCTCAAAACATGTGTTTAAAGGGTTCAAAACTAAAATATCCTCACTTGATGCAGCTTGGCATCACTTCACTACTTTTTCCTTTTCAATCTCATTCCTCACAAAAGAACTCTCACTATTTTACCCCAAATCATGTGTAGCATTCATTTCTTTTCTTACTTTCCTTCATTTTGCTTTTCTTTCTCTCTTTGAGACCTTTTACGATCTTTTATCTTTTTTTTTTTCAAAAAAAATGCTGTCAATGTAGAGGGTGATCCTTGGTCAAGTGTTTTTTAAAAAAAAAAAATCATAATAGGCTCAAAGGGGTAGCAATGAATGGTTTTTCAAATGGTAAAAGAAAGATGGCCATTTTTCCTCTCAAATGTGAATGCTTTTCTTGAAGATCATCCGTTGAACAAAAATGAGCTCATAGATCTTTTATAACCGACTATATATATTTAAGATATATTTATTTCCCATATGCTAGTAGCTGGCTTCTTTTGCTCAAATAGTCTCCATAGATTAATGTAAATGAGTTCTCAAAATTAAATTCCAAAATTATTGTTATCATTGTCTAAACATTCATCATTTGAAATTCAAAATGGGAATAAAAAGTTATGAAAGGTAGCAAAGTATGGAATAATGGTTGAGTGAAAAAAAAATGTAATGAAATGCATTAATTTGTCTTTATTAAAATGATAACAAATGAA